GGTAAAAAACGAAATGAAACAGTGTTGTTCAGGGTTATTTAAGTCCAAAATGTCTTGTAGAAGAACATTATCTGCTAATACAATCTGCACATTTCTTTGTAGATGATCAATGTGTGGATTAAATAAAGAACAATTGGTACTCATATTTTACACTTTTAGATCGTTCTTTTATTTTATTTCTCAGTTGAAGCAATTTTTATTTCTGATTGTTAATGAGAGGATTCAAACGTGGAAACCCTCATACAGTGAATAAAATCAACATAAATACTGTGTACGACAGACGCGCGTTTCGTCTATAAAAGACTCAGCAGTGACGCTTAAATAAAAAAAAAGTTAAAAAAATGCAGTGAAAGCAGCTCTTTCTATTACACCAGATATTGTACTCAAGATTCGGGATATTCTTGATTTTCCTAATATAAATAATAATACTTGCTGGTGCATTTTTCAATTTATATATTATTCAATATACCGGAAATGAAACGTACACTGTAGGAACGACTTATGATAGTTCAAAGTGCTAAAAAAGAAAATATATTTCTGCTTTTGTTTGAAAATTGAAAAAACAAATTCAATTTAGAACAAAAATTTTGATAGTCCAATATTCAATAATAGTTTTCTGAATTATTCGTAAGTAATTAAGTATAAATCCTCTGAAATACATCCGAATATACTTAATATTCAAAATATATTTTTGTTTCTTTAAATATTATGGCACGTACTTGCAACATTATTGCTATTTGTATTCAATTGTATGTCCAAAGTTTAATAAAAGTAAATTTTATGTACTATACCTTATTAATAGAACCAAACACTGTTATGTATTTCCATTTTTTACTGGCCTATGAACGATGGAGAGAAACACTAAGTCAAGTTAGAGTTCTTGAACACATATTTTTGAGATATTAAAATGAAACAGAGGCCATCAAACATTTGTAATTCACACCAAAATTCCCAAAGGGACAAAATATTAAAATACAACTTAAGACAACCACTGACATCTTGAGACATCAATGCTATTCTTATTTAGTATCATAAGCAAAGGTTAATGAACTTTTAATAAACTTTATAAATTATAAATTAAAACTAATAAATTTTCTGTTACATTCCTTAGAAATACAACTACATAAAGTAATCTATTTGTAGTTGTATGAAATACCTGCAGGCAAAAATCAAATGAAAAGAATGGATATCGTTAAATGAACCGCAAAATTACTTACATACAAGAGAATTATACAATATACGGATCTTCGCAGATATATTCAACAAAGGAACTAAAATTCCTATAAAATGAAAATCTGACGAATGGAAACCGAAAAAAAAGAAGACAGTGGTGACTAACATTAAATTTTCTTTAACTTAACAAAGCTACACCATTTTTAACATAAACAGTTCCTTTCCTTAAACTGTTGTGCTACATTAAAGAACACAGCTTTGTTGTTTTACGGTCTACCTATAACAAAATCCCAATTACCATTACTGATCTGCTCCAGTAACCATAACCGCTGCCATCTTTATCACAAATATCAGAGACACACAGGACATACAATGGTGCAACATTTAATGACAAAAAGAATAAAGGAAGCATTTTGGCCACATAATACGAATGCGTTAAAGTAACACAACAGTTTGATGGTTGAAAATGCTACATTGTATGTTAGAAATGCTGTGTTTTTCTCATCTGCTGAGATACAGACAGACGAGGTACCAAAAGAAAGAAGATTAGTGGATACTGCTTAAACACACTGTTATTCATATTACAAATAAGGAAATAAATAAATTTAAAAAAAAGGTGCCAAATCATATAAGAAGAAAGTTTTCAAATTTCAACTTCGTGCTTTATTTGGCATTTTTAAATTTTTTGATTTGAGCGTCACTGATGAGTCATTTAAAGACAAAACGCTCGTCTTGCGTACAAAATTTTAATCCTGGTTATTGCATGTCTGAATATTCAGAACAAAATCATGTGAATGAAATATGAATATATCACACTTTAAACGTAATTGATATATGGTGTCGGATTTTAAACGTGCTTCCGCAAGAGGTAACAATCCAGAGGAAAACAGTCAATTGAACAAATTTTATCGGACTTGGATTCCGCGAGTCCTTGTTAATTGAACACAGGAATACTAATTTATAAATAATTCAATTGTTCAAACATTCCACAGATAATCAAATATCCAACATTCTGTAAAAAAATCCCTCTAGTTTAACGGACAATTTAAGAGAAAAGAAAAGTTATACAAGGCGCTAACATTCAATAAGTTTCATTATTACGACCAACAAACTAGTTTAATTACCTTTTTCGAATGTATTCCTTAGACATGCATGGCACACAATGTTCTGCTCTGAAAGGAACGTGTAAAAGGGAATGTTTATCTACAGAAACATCGGTCAATGGGCATGGGTGCTGTCATCATAAGAAGTGTTGTTACGGTAATTATGATATGATATTTAAATATATGTTAAGACAATCTAATAAAGCATATATGGAAAGTGAAATTTTGGTGTGGAGTATGGGTTATATGTTGTTGTAAGGTAAAGAGGTAGAGAGAAATAACACTTTATATATTTCGTGCGCCTTGAGCGCTTTACTAGATTTGTCTTCATCAGAAATCATTAAACCTAAACATTGGAAAGCCGGAAGTAATAAATGCCTATAAACTGAAGAAGCTATATGACCAAAACGGAACCTAAAGAAAATAACTTTATTCATCTGAAGCCGAATTTGTCTGAGAAAGTTTGAACCTTTGTTTTCTTCAAACATTCTATTGAAAACATGTGTTCTTTGAAATTTTGAAATAACAATTTATATTACATGTCGACGTTAATCGTAATGCGTTGTTTTTCGAATTATTTATAATTAATATGCAAAAACTTCTCCAGAAAAGCACTTCGAACGAATTAAATTTATAACAAGTTGTTTTCATTTTTTGAAGTCAATGGTTTTTTTTGTTAACATGCTTTGCAAATTTGTATACACACATTTTAAAATAATGCAATTTATATAACATTAACTATGTCATGAGATGGAATAAAATTGTATCTAAAGAATCGTTTAAGTATTCGGAGTTCAGTATTTTTGTGATTTTACTTCTTTTACCAATTTCATTCCCCTGTTGCACACATTAAATTAATTTAATAATTTAATTGCATCAAACATCTTATGTTTACGTTCCTGATTATTATCATGATTACACAAGGTAGGACGATTGTAGCTTTTGCTTTTGTGTTACATCTTACAATATCTACCCGAATTATTTCAGTTTGCAAAGTATTCCGCTCCAACAGGTGCTAGGGCCGTCTTAAACTTGCAGTGAGGTGAGGTTTTTTTTTTGCTCCGTGTTGAAGGCCTCACTGTGACTTTGAGATGAAGAAGATTTTACGGCACAAAATAAAATGGGAAGCAAGTAGATTTTGTCTTATTTGGTAGGAATAAAACTTCCACATTTTATGAAACAAAATATCGTTATTGCTCTATAATATGTATTTTAAAAAGAAAAATATATAAAATTACTGAAGGATTCTAGTTGAAATATTACCTCTACCAATAAACACCCTAGAAGTGTCATCCATTGGTAGTAGTCAAACTGGTAAAAATGAAAGCTAACACCATCCAGGAATGAACTATTGAAATAAAAATATTCCTTATCTCCCTTCTTTATATTTAACATCACTCTCAACATGCCATAATTGTCCTGATTTACAATAAAAAGAAAATATTATCCTCCACACACATGGTAATGAAAATACTGAGATACCATTTACAATTCAGTTGAAATAATAATTAGCATAAAACAGTTCTTAGGTTCACGTATTGACTTTTTTTTTAAAAAGCAACTTGTGTTTAAACATTATTCATTTGTTTGGGTTTTAACGTTCTTGATGTGGGTTGATCAGAAATCGCAGAGGACGCACACAATCTTTAAGGTATCATTTTCATTTTTTTTAACTTTCGAAAGCAGTTGCTTTGAACATATAAGCATCAATAATACCATACTTCGTATGCGGAATTTTTAATAAATTTATACGAACGAATGTTAAACAGTCCAGATAACGATCTATAGCGTTTCAAAGGTCTATCTGTCAAGTTTGATCCACAGGTTATTTAGTTTACCTCGTTAGCGTTTCATGAACTTCTAATTATTCCCATATCTGATTTCTAGCTGAGTATCAGAGTAAGACACACATGTGCAGATGAAGCCTATCAACGTTTGAATTTTGATTTTCAAATATGTTTGGGCCCGAGTCTCACTAATACCATTAATTTTTGAAATGAGTATTTGTCAGTAAAATTGGTACTGTAAACCTTTATGTTATTACAAACAATTAACCGTACTCTAGCCGAGCTGTTTCTTCAGAAATTTACCTTAAAAGGAGATTATCTAAAAATCTCATTTGAAAAGTATGATTTAACATTTTTTATACTGCTATGCACATAGAATGATAAATCATGCCAGTAGATTGAAGATTTGACTGTTTTGTTTTAGTCCTTTTGTTGTTGATGTTTACAAACGTCTTATGCAGTTGCATATCTTATTGATTATTTCAAGAGTTTCAAGTGAAGTTATTGTTGCGACACGTCATGAATACTGCAAATATTATATTGAAAACATGTGTTCTTTGAAATTTTAAATTAACAATTTTTATTATATGTCGACGCTTTATCGTAATGCATTGTTATTCGAATGATTTATAATTCATATGCAAAAACTTCTCCAGAAAAGCGCTTCGGACGCATTAAATTAATAACGTGTTGTTTTCATTTTTTGAAGTCAATGGGTTTTTTTTTGTTAACACGCTTTGTAAATTTGTATACAAACATTAATAATGCGATTTATATAACATTAACTGTGTTATTAGACGGAAGTAAATTGTATCAAAAGAATCATTTAACAATTTCATTCTCCTGTTACACACATTAAAGGAATTTAATAATTTAACTGCATAAAACATCTTATGATATGAATAAGGAGCCACAGATCTTTTACGATAATGATGAATGCAAGTTGCGCATATATGACTGTCGACATGAGTTACAAAATGTTTACGTTCCTGATTATTATCATGATTACACAAGGTAGGACGATTGTAGCTTTTGCTTTTGTGTTACATCTTACAATATCTACCCGAATTATTTCAGTTTGCAAAGTATTCCGCTCCAACAGGTGCTAGGGCCGTCTTAAACTTGCAGTGAGGTGAGGTTTTTTTTTTGCTCCGTGTTGAAGGCCTCACTGTGACTTTGAGATGAAGAAGATTTTACGGCACAAAATAAAATGGGAAGCAAGTAGATTTTGTCTTATTTGGTAGGAATAAAACTTCCACATTTTATGAAACAAAATATCGTTATTGCTCCATAATATGTATTTTAAAAAGAAAAATATATAAATTTACTGAAGGATTCTAGGTGAAATATTACCTCTACCAATAAACACCCTAGAAGTGTCATCCATTGGTAGTAGTCAAACTGGTAAAAATGAAAGCTAACACCATCCAGGAATGAACTATTGAAATAAAAACATTCCTTATCTCCCTTCTTTATATTTAACATCACTCTCAACATGCCATAATTGTCCTGATTTACAATAAAAAGAAAATATTATCCTCCACACACACATGGTAATGAAAATACTGAGATACCATTTACAATTCAGTTGAAATAATAATTAGCATAAAAAAGTTCTTAGGTTCACGTATTGACTTTTTTTTTAAAAAGCAACTTGTGTTTAAACATTATTCATTTGTTTGGGTTTTAACGTTCTTGATGTGGGTTGATCAGAAATCGCAGAGGACGCACACAATCTTTAAAGTATCATTTTCATTTTTTTCAACTTTCGAAAGCAGTTGCTTTGAACATATAAGCATCAATAATACCATACTTCGTATGCGGAATTTTTAATAAATTTATACGAACGAATGTTAAACAGTCCAGATAACAATCTATAGCGTTTCAAAGGTCTATCTGTCAAGTTTGATCCACAGGTTATTTAGTTTACCTCGTTAGCGTTTCATGAACTTCTAATTATTCCCATATCTGATTTCTAGCTGAGTATCAGAGTAAGACACACATGTGCAGATGAAGCCTATCAACGTTTGAATTTTGATTTTCAAATATGTTTGGGCCCGAGTCTCACTAATACCATTAATTTTTGAAATGAGTATTTGTCAGTAAAATTGGTACTGTAAACCTTTATGTTATTACAAACAATTAACCGTACTCTAGCCGAGCTGTTTCTTCAGAAATTTACCTTAAAAGGAGATTATCTAAAAATCTCATTTGAAAAGTATGATTTAACATTTTTTATACTGCTATGCACATAGAATGATAAATCATGCCAGTAGATTGAAGATTTGACTGTTTTGTTTTAGTCCTTTTGTTGTTGATGTTTACAAACGTCTTATGCAGTTGCATATCTTATTGATTATTTCAAGCGTTTCAAGTGAAGTTATTGTTGCGACACGTCATGAATACTGCAAATATTATATTGAAAACATGTGTTCTTTGAAATTTTAAATTAACAATTTTTATTATATGTCGACGCTTTATCGTAATGCATTGTTATTCGAATGATTTATAATTCATATGCAAAAACTTCTCCAGAAAAGCGCTTCGGACGCATTAAATTAATAACGTGTTGTTTTCATTTTTTGAAGTCAATGGGTTTTTTTTGTTAACACGCTTTGTAAATTTGTATACTAACATTAATAATGCGATTAATATAACATTAACTGTGTTATTAGACGGAAGTAAATTGTATCTAAAGAATCATTTAACAATTTCATTCTCCTGTTGCACACATTAAAGGAATTTAATAATTTAACTGCATAAAACATCTTATGATATAAATAAGGAGCCACAGATCTTTTACGATAATGATGAATGCAAGTTGCGCATATATGACTGTCGACATGAGTTACAAAATGTTTACGTTCCTGATTATTATCATGATTACACAAGGAAGGACGATTGTAGCTTTTGCTTTTGTGTTACATCTTACAATATCTACCCGAATTATTTCAGTTTGCAAAGTATTCCACTCCAACAGGTGCTAGGACCGTCTTAAAATTGCAGTGAGGTGAGGTTTTTTTTTGCTCCGTGTTGAAGGCCTCACTGTGACTTTGAGATGAAGAACGGCAATTAAAGCGCTGTTCCTTTGCTATTTGTGTGTTATTTGCTGAGCATGTACTGATTTTTTGTCATGGATGGATACCCCATATCCTTTGTTTTTCTATTCTATAGATGAATCATAACTTTTGCTAAGTAGATAAAATTCTTATGTTTAACTACTGTAGGAGCAGACTCCAGACATGAGCAAGGATTTGGAAAATAAATAACAAAAAAAAAAGAATTAAGAGCAGGGGAAAGCGAAAATATATTTTCGATGTGTTGTCTCATTAATCATTAACCTTATGATATATTTATGAATGTTATCTAGATATATCACAAGTTTAAGACATGCCCAGTACAAAGAAAGTCCTCTTCCTCTCCCCAAAAAACCAGAAGTCAGCAATATTTGTATTGAAATGCATTTATACCTATATGCTGCTGAAAAATACAAGCATTTAGGAAATCCTGTCATGGTGTTAAAGTATACATTAGAAGCTGTAGAAAATTTTAAAACAACGAAATTGGCTGGGATAATTGATTAAGAATTGCTTAACGTTCAGCGTCAAATATTGCGGAATTTAAAATTTGAATTTGAAACATTTCGTAATTTTGAGTCCTCACTACTCTTCAACTTCGGACTTTTTTTGGCCTTTCTTTACTTTTTTCATTCGAGCATCACTGATGAGTCTTTTGAAGGCGCGTCTGGCGTACTCAACGTTGATCCTAGTATCTATATGATGAGTTTATTTACAACCACTTTTGTCGATGCCACTGCTGGTGGAGGTTTCTTCCTGAGGGTATCACCAGTCCAGTAGTCAGCACTTCTGTATTGACATGAATTATCATTGATATGGTCATAATTATAAATTAACTGTTTATAAAACTTTAAATTTTTCGAAATACTAAGGATCTTCTACCCTATGAATAAATTACCGTAGCTGTATTTGGCAAAACGTTTCTGAATTTTGTCTTTATTGCTCTTCAACTTCATACTTTATTTGGCATTTTTAAATTTTTTGATTTGAGCGTCACTGATGAGTCATTTAAAGACAAAACGCTCGTCTGGCGTACAAAATTTTAATCCTGGTTTCTATGATGAGTTTATTGCATGTCTGAATATTCAGAACAAAATCATGTGAATGAAATATGAATATATCACACTTTAAACGTAATTGATATATGGTGTCGGATTTTAAACGTGCTTCCGCAAGAGGTAACAATCCAGAGGAAAACAGTCAATTGAACAAATTTTATCGGACTTGGATTCCGCGAGTCCTTGTTAATTGAACACAAGAATACTAATTTATAAATAATAAAATTGTTCAAACATTCCACAGATAATCAAATATCCAACATTCTGTAAAAAAATCCCTCTAGTTTAACGGACAATTTAAGAAAAAGAAAAGTTATACAAGGCGCTAACATTCAATAAGTTTCATTATTACGACCAACAAACTAGTTTAATTACCTTTTTCGAATGTATTCCTTAGACGTGCATGGCACACGATGTTCTGCTCTGAATGGAACGTGTAAAAGGGAATGTTTATCTACAGAAACATCGGTCAATGGGCATGGGTGCTGTCATCATAAGAAGTGTTGTTACGGTAATTATGATATGATATTTAAATATATGTTAAGACAATCTAATAAAGCATATATGGAAAGTGAAATTTTGGTGTGGAGTATGGGTTATATGTTGTTGTAAGGTAAAGAGGTAGAAAGAAATAACACTTTATATATTTCGTGCGCCTTGAGCGCTTTACTAGATTTGTCTTCATCAGAAATCATTAAACCTAAACATTGGAAAGCCGGAAGTAATAAATGCCTATAAACTGAAGAAGCTATATGACCAAAACGGAACCTAAAGAAAATAACTTTATTCATCTGAAGCCGACTTTGTCTGAGAAAGTTTGAACCTTTGTTTTCTTCAAACATTCTATTGAAAACATGTGTTCTTTGAAATTTTGAATTAACAATTTATATTACATGTCGACGTTAATCGTAATGCGTTGTTTTTCGAATTATTTATAATTAATATGCAAAAACTTCTCCAGAAAAGCACTTCGGACATATTAAATTTATAACAAGTTGTTTTCATTTTTTGAAGTCAATGGTTTTTTTTGTTAACATGCTTTGCAAATTTGTATACACACATTTTAAAATAATGCGATTTATATAACATTAACTATGTCATGAGACGGAATAAAATTGTATCTAAAGAATCGTTTAAGTATTCGGAGTTCAGTATTTTTGTGATTTTACTTTTTTTAACAATTTCATTCTCCTGTTGCACACATTAAATGAATTTAATAATTTAATTGCATAAAACATCTTATGATATAAATAAGGAACCACAGATCGTGTACGATAATGATGAATGCACGTTGCGCATATATGACTGTCGACATGAGTTACAAAATGTTTACGTTCCTGATTATTATCATGATTACACAAGGTAGGACGATTGTAGCTTTAAATTTGTGTTACATCTTTCAATGTCTACCCGAATTATTTCAGTTTGCAAAGTATTCCGCTCCAACAGGTGCTAGGGCCGTCTTAAACTTGCAGTGAGGTGAGGGGTTTTTTTGCTCCGTGTTGAAGGCCTCACTGTGACTTTGAGATGAAGAATGGCAATTAAAGCGCTGTTCCTTTGCTTTTTGTGTGTTATTTGCTGCGCATGCACTGATTTTTTGTCATGGATGGATACCCCATATCCTTTGTTTTTCTATTCTTTAGATAAATCATAACTTTTGCTAAGTAGATAAAATTCTTATGTTTAACTACTGTAGGAGCAGACTCCAGACATGAGCAAGGATTTGGAAAATAAATAACAAAAAAAAAAGAATTAAGAGCAGGGGAAAGCGAAAATATATTTTCGATGTGTTATCTCATTTATCATTAACCTTATGATATATTTATTAAAGTTATCTAAATATATCACAAATTTAAGACATGCCCTGTACAAAGAAAGTCCTCTTCCTCTCCCAAAAAAAACAGAAGTCAGCAATATTTGTATTAAAATGCATTTATACCTTTATGCTGCTGAAAAATACAAGCATTTAGGAAATCCTGTCATGGTGTTAAAGTGTACATTAGAAGCTGTAGAAAAATTTAAAACAACGAAATTGGCTGGGGTTATTGATTAAGAATTGCTTAACGTTCAGCGTCAAATATTGGGGAATTTTATAATTTGAATTTGAAACCTTTCGCAATTTTATGTCCTAAATGCTCTTCAACTTCGTACTTTCATTGGTCTTTTTAACTTTTTTTCATTCGAGCATAACTGAGAAGTCTTTTGAAGACGAAAGGCGCGTCTGGCAACCTCAAAATTAACCTGGTAACTATGATGAGTTTATTCACAACCTCTGAGTCGATACCACTGCTGGTGGAGGTTTTTTCCTGAGGGTATCACCAGCCCAGTAGTCAGCACTTCTGTATTGACGCTAATATTTAACAAGTTTCATTTTCACGACCAACAAATTAGCTTAAGGATGTTCGCTACTCTGTTTCAAAATAACAAGCTTTTTAAAAGACTTGTAAATTGAAAGTATATGAATAAAGGAACTTAAAAAGCAGAAAAAATTGAAGGACCCGTGTGCTTGTTTTCGAGATATAAGCCATTGAAAATTTGGCGGGAAGTGATTTTCTCGAGATTTTTCATACATCTAACATTGTTGCCTATATTCAGTAGAAATCCACTGCAAAGAATAAATAATATTTTGAAGAAATCTTGAATTGCTATTCTTGAATAAGTTAAAACCCATTGCATACAAAGTAGACGGGAATGAAGCCTTAATAAGAATCGATAACGCTCATTAGGTGTTTTCGTTTATCTGAATAAAGGCAACAGTAGCATACCGGTGTTCAAAAGTCATAAATCGATTGAGAGGAAACAAATCCGGGTTACAAACTAAAACCGAGGGAAACACATCAACTATAAGAGGAAAACAAAGGAACAACAGGAACACTGAAGTGCAACAAAAACAAACTCCAACATACATAGAAACGAACTATTTGATAACAACTGCCATATTCCTGACTTGGTACAAGACATTTTAAGAAAAAATGGTGGGTTGAACCTGGTTTAATGGCTAGCCAAACCTCCCGCTTTATGACAATGTTAAAAAATATCGGTAAAATGACAACACTACGTGACAGAAATATAGCACAAACACATAATATGATAGTCGACACAACATGCAAACCGCAGAACAACAACGACATATTCCATCAACGACAGACACTACAAACAGTGACGCGCTTACGTAACTAACATGCAATCTCGAACTTTATACAATTATTTTCACAATACTCGTCCAAACAATTTTCATGACAATGATGTTATGGAAAGGCAATTCTATAATTTGCTTTTTGGGACATTTTTTATCGATGCATATTTCTTATGTTTGTGTTTCAAATCGTTTTTGTTTTGTTTGTCGTCATATATTACTATGATTATATCGTAAAACAAATACTTATTCATTGTTTGCATTTATTTCTTAAAGTTTGTTATATATTTTACAGCTCCGTGTGAAAGTGGATGGCTTTATCTTCCGGGTTCAAATTGCTATTTCTTCAGCACAACATCTGAGGACTGGGAAACTGCCAAGGTACGTAGTACCTTAAGATAACATATTACTGTTGGATAATTAAAGAAGTAGGATTCATAAAATCGATACTTGTATATTAATATTTCATTATTGCATTATTCATCTTTACACTCATATTTGTATAGTAACATAAATAATTGCAGGACTAACCGTATTATTTGTCAATTTTATCATTACATTATTAGGTCTTTCCACTTTTCTATGGAAAGACCTATTGATTTTTTAATGATAATTAGGCTTTCAACTTTTCTGTGCAAAGACCTATTGAATTTGTTCTGATTATTATTCGCAACCGTTAAAGATTACGACAAAATTATTTCACCAATTTGCTCATTATATCCTCAGGATCTTAAGAATAATTTTGACCGCAGCGCTCCTGAGACTCCATATGAGAGTTCTTCCCACTTCTGTATTTAAAATAAGTGAAATGTAACTGTAACTGGTAAACCATAAGTGATAGAGACCCAGGGTCTTTTGAATTGAGGTCCTTGGTCCACCAAAAAGAAAATAGGGTCAAGGTCAAAGGTCAAGGTTAAATTATAAATTTTTATTTTGGCTTAATATTGCTTCTTTTTAGAAACCGTATGAGATATCGTCAAAATATTTTTACTAAACTGATATTTGCGACATGCCGTAACATACATATTTTGGTAAAAAGGGTGCGTTGACATTTGATGGGGATTTCATCCCCTCTAATACTCAAAATAAGCTGTATTGGGATAGAACTCATTTCCCTTACATAGTGGAGACTAAGGGTCATTTGATTTGAGGTCCTTGCTTTATGACCTTGAAATTCAGTTCGAGGTCAAAGGTAAAATTGACGTTGTAGATTTTGACCTTTGCTGTTGATTCATATTTATACATGATAAAGCCATGGGATCTTTTGCGTTAGGTTAGTAGACATATGACCTTGAAAATGTCAACCAGAAGTGATCTTTTTAAACCGGAAGAAGCTATTTATCTCCCTTATTTAAAGCAAAAGTATATGGAAAATATATATTTTTAGAATCAGAGTAAAATAAGCTATTATTTGACACCGGAGGTGACTTTGATGTAACCGGAAGTAGCTTATTGTCTCCCTTAATTGATGAAAAAAGTGCCTCAAACATTGTATTTTCAAAATCAGAATGTGATAAGCTATCATCTAAGCCCGGACATACTGTTTTTTTTCTCAAAATTTTGTTATCTTGTTTAGTATTACCGATCGTTAAATTACAACCTGCTTTGTCTATTCGCGTCATAATAAAAGTTTAAGAAACTAATTTAAGCCTTTTTAGAGTTTATCTTAATTATATGATTGACCACAAAACGACATTTGACCGTAGAAGATTTTGGATGTTCTGTTAAGGCCCTTTCTGTTTTTGTGCTCTCGAACATTTTATCTTCCAAAAGTGTGGTCTTGTGCGTACCTGTTAAATGTTAATCTAAAACACGTTTACGGTATCAAATATAAACTTGATTTTTTAAATACCCTTGCTTTACGTTTCAATAATTTTGAATTACGTTGTTTTACTACAACTACAGTAAAACACCACACAAAGTGTGTTATTATTTTAAGATGTATACTTTGTTTCAGGCAAGCTGTATGTACCTCGGCGCTAAACTTTCAGAACCTGTAACACAATCAGAGATAGATTATATCAGTGACATAGCTAGATCTAGGAGTGGCAGTAAGTTATATTTACTAGAGCAAATAAATATTATGTCAAACGCTTATCACAAGCGTTTGATAAGTTTTATAATACATTCGTATGATGATATTATTATTGATAAGTTAACAGTTTATTTGTATACCCATACTCCGAAGGAGGGGGTATTCTGTTTTAGCCTGTCTGTCCATCCGTCCTTATGTCCGTCCGTCCGTATGTCCTTCTGTCCTATTTAATTTCCGTCGCATTTATCTCAGGAACCACAAATAATAGCTTCAAGAAATTTGTTATCAAATTTGAGCTCTCACGAACATGTTTGTTTTACCCCGCCACATTCTTTCTGTGACTGTCCAAAGAAAATTAAAAAAAAAGATACTAACACCAAAACGATTCAAATCTAGGTTTAGGATGTGTTATTAATTTGTTGATTTAAGATGTTCTCGTTGCTTTTGAATACATTTCTGAGTTGTACCTTTTTAGAGAGAAAACAATTAATGCACGATCTATATTTTAAGGTCTTTTATTAAATTCTCTGTTAATTCAGAAATTATTAAGAAACTTGGGTCAATAAAGTTTTGGAATGGATACGACCTGATGTCTATCGGCCAAATATGAAGAAAACCAATGTAGTGAAGTGTAAGAAAAGTATTTTTGTTATTTATGAAGGATCAGTAAATTGTTCATGATTTAGAAAATCAAAAGCGTTACAAAGATCCAGAAATACTGTCCATACTAAATATGGACTTTTCGGACAATAACTCAAAAGTGCTTTGAGCAATGGTGATTGGTTTATATCTATTAAAATAAACTCCCTTTAGTTCTTTTTTTATATAAATTTCTGATATGACATTGAGTAGTTCTGGAACTTTATTCTTTGAAAAAGCGACGGGCGTATCATGCGCTCATGGCGCAGCTCTTTATTATAATTGGAATAATTTTCAATAGTGCACACACAATGCATTTTTACATAAACGAAAAAAGAAAAATGAATGTAAAAGCTAATATGCTAACAACAGAACTACCTGCACAATCTAAACTATATATCTTTTAGTTTGAGACCCCGATAATATCGTTCCTTTAGTATAATAAATATAATGTATTATCTATACCTTAGACGACAGACACACAAATGACAGTCACCCTTTTCTGCCATTGACAGAACGCCAATAACACCTACATCGTACACATGACAGAAAAATAAATAATTCAAACGCAAATTCAAGTTTGCTGACAGCCCGTCGTGCGTGATGGACGCCAGATATAATTGTATATTAAACATAATCGTTAGATATCGTGAAATAAACATAACAAGAATGTGTCCATAGTACACGGATGCCCCACACGCACTATCATTTTCTATGTTCAGTGGACCGTGAAATTGTGGTCAAAACTCTTATTTGGTATTGAAATTAGAAAGATCATATCATATGGAAAATGTGTAAGTTTCAAGTTGATTGGACTTCAACTTCATCAAAAACTACCTTGACCAAAACCTTTAACCTGAAGCGGGACAGACGAACGGACGGACGAACGAACGGACACACAGACCGGAAAACATAATGCCCCTCTACTATCGTAGGTTGGGCATAAAACAGTAATCAATTGAAATTATTCAATAACATAAAAGAAGCTGTACGTTTGACAAATTTCACCTCAATGATAGTCAAGGCAGACCAGGAAAAACTGCAAACGAACCCACCTTAAATATGACAACAAGACCCCCTGATTGGCCAGTTAAAAATAGTCCTTTCGAAAATTAACGATTGCCTGCCGACAATACAACATTTTTCCACAGGGACTCGGTTAGCAGATTAAAATTTTGTTAAACAATGTTTTGCAAATTTTTTTTCGTATTTCCGGTCTATCTGTATTACATTATTAACGTTTGTTTATATTGGCATCAATAATTATTGTTTTCTAGCAATGTGTAGTTTGCTATCCATATCGGTATACTGAAAAATCAACAACAAAAAAATGGACAACTAACCGAGTCTTTGTACATTTCCAGCTATATTGATCGAAACGCTGGAAAATATTAATATTGACCATGCATGTTTATCAATAAATTAGATATTAATTAACGTTAAACTACCAATGCAAAGGTATGCATTTGTGGAAAGATATAAGTGGCCGTTGGATCAAAAGTACTTTTAACTTGCCAGGACGATGCTAGATATAATGAAGGATGTAATTAGATCATGGTTAATATAAGTTTTGATGGACATACGTGTGTTTTCCGATTTTTAAACAATTAAAGCACTGTAAGAGAATTATATACGTGTTTGAAATAAAACGTGTCGGAGGGAAAGGGTTATTAAATGTCTTCGCGATTACGCACTCTTTAATCTTGACAATACCTTTTATTCAAATATTATCCTCTTACAGTATTTTGTAATGCTCATGCATATGCGTTAAATTAACAAAGGATGCAATTAGTTCGATAAAAACTGCGTATAAAATATAAACTGTCACAAAAATCACCAGAAGCCATTGTTATCAATTACAGTACATGGTTCCTAATTATGGAAATTTTAGAAGAAGTATTTAATATGATTTATATATACATTTAAAAATAACTATATGGTAATAACAAATGATAATTTATACAAATTACAGTCATCGATTTCAATTTTGATTTCATTCAAAGCTTTTTGGCTCGGTGGAACAGACACAGATAATGAAGGAACTTTTGTATGGACGAGTGATAATAGAAATATCACTCTATCTAATTGGGCTGGTGGAGAACCAAACAATAATGATAATATGGAAGATTGTGTAAATGTGCATGCTAAGTTGGGTTTTTTGTGGAATGATAGCCCATGCGGTTCGCTTTCTCTCTTTACTTGCGAAACAAAGTATGTATAGTTATAATCATGATAAATTGTTGTTTATTGAACGTCCAGTGGCAAATATTTCATGTTTAACAAATAAACAATAAATCTTATAGTTAGGTTTTTCATAGAGGGATGATCGAGATAGAGTGGGAATTTCGACTGCTACTGATAAATGAGTTTATGATGGATAGGGGCAGAAATTTTGCCTTACAACATGCCACCTATGGACCCTTCAGAGAAAGCAAGGGCTTTTAAGCGTGCAGAGGGAGTGGCGTTCTCCTTAGCTGACGTATCGGATTTAACTTTCCCATTCCTATCGTATGTTGATTAGATATAATGCATCCTCATCAAACAAATGGACACCGCTCTTAAAAGCATGGGTTTTACAGCCTGATGGGGGAAGTCAATGGACGACCATGTTTCTATACCCTAGCAAACCTATTCGAGATGTTTGAATGTAATTTTTATAAATGATCAATTCTATTATATTTTTACATTAATGTCTTATGATGTGAAGTGTAAGATATTATTGAAAGATAAATAGATGGTGTTGGGGAGGGGATACAACAGTCTATTTCCCGAGACTTTTATCTTTGATGAGTTTTTTCACCATATATAAACCTTCAATTACCTTTTCATTAATGATTGTTCACATTTGTCAGTCATTTACATTTTCTGATGTTGTAATGTTAAATACAGGACTATTTCACTAGCTTTTGTGCTACATTTTTCTCATTTGAAAAAGCACACACATAGTGAGAAAAACGTGATTATTAACACTCACAAATCGTGTACACTCTCGATAATGAAGTACGTAATGTCATTTTAGCATCTCCCGATTTTCACTAGCATGTCGTGGTTTCATCTGCAAATGTGCCTGTTCAAAGAAATGTATAGTATCGTTTACTTGTTTGAATGTCAGCAACTATCTAATTTAGTCTTCGATAAAACCAGCGAAATGCAAATTCAAACTGTAATAGATTTTTGATGCCTAACAGTTATTTAATCACGCGGAGTTGAAGCATAGTGCTAGCTTCTTTTCATTCTTTTTACGAAGCCCAAGTATGAAATTTGTGTTCACAGATGACAGCTGTTTATCATGTCTACCATTTATCATGTTTGAGTTTAAAGTATTTTCCTTTTGGCCTTTATACACTTTCATAGTTTTACACAATTTGAACGAAAAAACAACTTGTAATAATCGCTTAATTAAATGCTTGGTGCTAAACAGAATACGGTAATAAACGGAGATATGAAGTTATTATAATAAGACGAAAAATTCATTCGTAATATTCCACTGCTCTACGATGTCGAGAAGGAGAGATCCTTTACAAGGAGGCCTGAATTATTCGGGTATACTTGTGGTGTAGATTGTGAACATATGTAAAAGTAGACCTACTCAGACAAAACATACTACTTTTTAATGTTGTTGTTTACTAAGAATAGTGAATACAGTTACATTAATGATTTTTTTTTTGAAGGAGAAATACATTTGAAACTATTTGTGGGTGCATTCACTTGTCCGTGAAGTTGTACTTCAAATTTAGGGCAGATGTGCTACATAGTATGCTTTTTTTAAAAGAAACTCAGAAAACCAGAGTACTATTTTTAGTAGGACTAGTAGTTGACTTTTGGAACGTCCTGAGTCAAAACAAAAATTGTAAAATTGGTTGATAAATGCATGTAGAAAATTGATATACGTACTATTTATGATAACATTGCGTTATAAAAGCGTATATTTTAAGTTTCGGAAATTATTATTTTTTCAATATTTATATAGAATTTTGTTGAAAAAGAAAACGGCTAATATTGTAGCAAATGACAAATTAGTTCACCGGTTATATCACAAGAATTTAGATAAATATTGGCTAATTTTCGCACTAATGGTAAATATTATTTATGTAGCCTACACATATATGCGTCTCGATGGTCACAAGTTGCATAAGTGTAAAATGTACAGTTTAAAAACAATTGAACATTACTATTTCAAAATTTTCGTAAACGCCAATTATCATCATACAGATCAAACGTACAAGAAACAAATTTAATTGATACGTGTCTTGATATTTTTAATATAATTCGGACTTCAAAATTAATTGGATATCCCTACCCTTTTTTCAAAAGACGAATTTACCTTAGATGCATCGTTGTTCAGCCGACGCTGAAAATGGTAATATCAGCCAGAATGTTAGCCCAAAACATTATATTTATAACGTATCCGCCAAGGACTGATGACACCCAAGGGGGACGAAACGTCAACCAGAAGTGGCGTCGAACCAGCGGTTGTAAAAACTCTATCAATTAAACTAGGCTAATAATATGTTACGCCAGACTCGTCAGTGGCACTCAAATCAGTTGGAACAACAAAATCAAATACAAAATTGAAGATCATTGAAAACCAGAAATTTAGAAAAGTTGTGCCAAATAGACTAATGCGATGTCTAGGGTCGAAAAACTTAAGTTTGTCGAAAAATCAAAATTGAAGAGAAGAAAATTTACAGAATATTATCGTATCATTTCATGTCAACACAGATGTACTGACTACAGAACTGGTGACACCCTTGTAAAAACTATATCAAATAAACTTGGCTTATAATATATTACGCTAGAAGCGCGATTGGTCTACATTATAGTAACGTTCGAATCAAATCAGTTTGTATACCTAGAGTATCCAATCAAAACAAATCAAATTTCTAACAAATTTGGAAAATTATTAACAAATTTTCAAAATCACGACCATCGATTGTAGATATCTTTCTCCCGGTAATTTTGAGATATAAATGATTTTTCACACTTGCGTAATAAAAGAGTATATCTTAAGTTCCCAAAAACATATAATTATTTGTATATACATATATACTTCATTAGTAACGATCTGATTTTGTGTTTAGAAACATGTTTATCCCTTCCACATTCTTAATGTTTGTCACAAGCAAGGAGCCCCTAATCCAGTGGGTGTCGTTGGTTGCTGTCTGCGGTAGTAATTTCACATTTAAAGTTATTAGCTTAAATATGGTCGTTGGTTTTCTCTGGTGAATTGTTTTACATTTTGTTATCTTGGGCACTTTTGTACTAACTACAAGTGTATATGGTATGGGTTTTGCTCAATGTTGAAGAAGATATGTGTGTACATAGCTGTATGTTAGTCTTTATATGATAGTTGTCTTATTTGCAATCGAGCCTTATGTTGATGTGTCAGTTGTGCCCTTAAATGTTACCTCACTAGCTTAGATAGAAGAGATGTAAACTATAATTTTAAGTTCATTACTTTAGAAAAAAAGGTTCGCTATCTGTTAAGCTAAGGGACTTGACTAATACTTTTAAAATATTAATAACACTTGTGGTTTAACAAAAAAAAATCAAAGTGTCTTAAACGGTTTAATTGCACGAAGAATCATAATATTATCCAGTACCATTCAATGTAGAATAAATTTAAATATATAATGGATTGGAAATTTCCATTGTAAAAGATTATGATTTTGTTTCTTTTCAGACCTTTGACTATCTGAACAAGACTGTACCATAGCCACGCCACACCTCACATGAAAGACTAATGAGATTTCTATATAAATACAGATCGAATCATACAATTTCGCAACTTACGATAGATTAATCACTTCTTGTAAATCATTAACGTAGATGTTCCTGTCGGTTTAAGGTTTCCATACTTTTCTGAACTGCTTATTTCATATAATATGTTTTACTTACCAAAACATTGCCATTAATTTACAATATTTAATCAGAGAAAAAACACTCACAAGGCATTAAGGTATATGAGAAAAAAAGTTTTCGAAAGGACAAAGAACAAATGTTTAGATTTTATATGTTTTTATCATTTGCAAAATAATAAGTAATCTTAACTAGCTGTCAGCAGCTTACATGTCACCAAACCGCTTATTAATATTATCAGTACTAATTTTACTGCTCAAGATACACGTTTAGCCATAGATAGATTTTGCTATTTTTTTAGGTCCTTTTTGGTTATAACTGTTTCAACTGTTTAGGTTCTTTTACAGGCTTTCAAATATTCGGCTTTGAGCGTTCCTGATGAATACATATGTTAACATACATATGCATTTTGCTGATCATCAACTGATCACATAAATACAATTATAAACCGAAAATTGCAATGAACATCAGTTGGCATCGTCTTAAAAAGCAACTCTTTAAAGGGTCAAATAACACTTGAATGATGATAAATGATCATCCAAAATTTCTAAAATGTAATACTTGTATATTTAATAAAAGTATCTCCTTACGAATTTATCAAAATTGTCTCATTGTCATCTGTATTGTTATGTATTATTTTATTAAGACAAATACGTGTATTAGCCCGAGACGTAGCCGAGGTCCAATGCAGCTTATCAAGACCAAATACGACTGTACGAGGACATAATACAGATTTAATATGAAAACACCCATTGCATGTCACCTTTATAAAATAATGTCTCAAGTATTCACAAAAGATATGACTAATACAGGATCAATACAAACATCTATTTTCTTACACCTGACTGTAAATCACCAACAGCTTTTATCGAGACCCAATATGACAGTATAAGGACAAAATTACTATCACCTGACACACATTTTGGTGTTTCTACAATTTGCGATGAATAGCACTTTTATTTACCGGTGAATAACCCTTTGAGACTCTCGATTTATACACGAGTCATCTCCCATCACCCCATCACGGAAAATGACGTCACCGAAGTATGTAAACAAGATGGCATAGGTCAGGTTAGAAGTACATGCAGTTACGTGGAAACAAGTATTGGAAATTCTTCTAGTGCCGAGGATAGCTTTCATGTACGGCCCTTTTCAGGACCAGCAATATTTTACAGAAACAGTCTACATTTCATGTACATGCGAAGCATTATAAGAGCTTCTTTAATATGTATATTCAGTGGTTCAAAATTCTCTTTTACTGTTAGTTTGGTTAAATAAAACAATTGTGACCGCTTAGAAGCGGTGTATATTCAAGTTTGTCTACCCTAATAGGTTATTTCTCTTCAGGCTGGGCTCCAAGGGAAATAGATTGTTAGAGATGACAATTTTCGTTACATACGTTATATGGTGTTTTTTTTTCTTTCAGAACGATAGGTAACTCATTTGAAAAAACAACCCGGAAGATACCAATTTTCAATAAAAAGTGCTTCAAGGATTCAAAATTAAAAAGTGTATTGCCAGGCAAAAAAGAGAAAAATAATTAGTCTGAATCAGTTCATTTCAAATTGCTGAAAAAATAATTTGCTTTTTGCGGTTAAAATGTCATAAAATCAGAGAAAAACATTTCACCCCCTTTTATAAAGTTAATATTAATAATATGATAAATTACTTACCAAATAACTTTTTTTTTCATACACCGAAACAATTGTTTTTTTTTTGCTTCATGCAATTATAGTAAAATTCTAATTCAACTGGATAGTGCAAGTGACAACTAACGTTCATATCTAGTTATTTCACCTTATAATTGAGCCGTTATGCCTAAACGCATGAGAAAAGAATATCCCACATCAATATGATCGGTAAATTGGGATACAATTTCCGCAAATCTTGTTTTCCTGCATATTAGTCAAATAATGCATTTTAAGTTTTTCTTTTGTCGTATTACAGAACCTATGAGTGTTATACGACAAGAAAAACCTTAATATGCGCTCACACATTCACCCTTTCTACGGACCATAATTGTATATAATCAAAGAAAATTTTATTACAAGAAATGAAAAAAAAAAACCAACTTCAACATCAAACTTCTTGAACGTCTAACACTTCGCGTAATACACACTTTCTAACCAGAAGATAAAATCATGTATTAGACCAGCTTAAATTCTGTATTAGACCTATGTTTCAGTATTAAGACCTGTATTGGTGGCCAGTTTTGAGACACATTGAATAGTAATAAATGGACAATTTATAATGTAAATTAACTCATTAATATTTAAAAATGTTTTTTTTACAAGTTTCACTGAGAAATTATGACCGAGTGCAATAAGGTATTGAAATATATATTGTCTACATCAGTTTACGCACCCTATCAACCGACCACATACATTTAACAAATCAAGAAAACACACAGGGAAACTTTTTTGTTTTTGCTAAGGTAAATATTGTTTTTGTTCAGAAATGATCGGACAGACAGTGTTAGTATAATATCAGAAACATTAACCGTCTGGTAATGGTAATTCTCTTATGGTCGTATATTTTCTTCATGAAGAAATATTTCTCGTATCACACTGAACAGAATATGATATGGATGAGTGATACGAAAAATGCGCTAATTTGGTTGGCCAATCCTGCTGTGTGTTACAAAATTGCGACAAAACTATTGATCATTCGTTAGGTCAATGGCTACTTTCAACGTCACAACGGACCCTTTGCAATGGAGATTTGTGATTTCGTCAAAAATATACAAAACACTGAAAGGTTTTACCTGAAGAATTAACGCATTTCTCCAATTTTGGTAACAATAAACGTTCATTTTCTGTTAAAAGAGGGACGAAAGATACCAGAGGGACAGTCAAACTCATAGATCGAAAACAAACTGACAACGTCATGGCCAAAAATAAAAAGACAAACAGACAAATAATAGTACAGATGACACAACATAGAAAACTAAAGACTAAGCAACACGAACCCCACCAAAAACTGGGGGTGATCTCAGGTGCTCCGGAAGGGTAAGCAGATCCTGCTCCACATGTGGCACCCGTCGTGTTGCTTATGTTATTACAAATCCGGTAAATAGTCTAATTCGGTAAGTCATATTCGTGAAAAGGGAAGGGTATTGTAGTTACGACATAAGGAACATATCCGATATCATCTGTGAAACGGTTATTCCATAACGGTCAACCAACTCGTGATGGCGTCCGTAAAATTTACGAAGGGATGACTTCAACTTCACCATTTGGAACTCTTGGTTTAATAGCTTCCTTGTGAGCAGCAATCCTCTATCAAGGAAATCATGATAGGAAACACAAGCCCGGGAATATCGTATCAATTGGGAGATATATACTCCGTATGCAGGCGCTGCTGGAATGTTGCTACATAGAAATGGAAAGTTCACAATTGGGAAGCTGAAATCATCTCTTTTGTCGTAAAGTTTTGTTTTCAACCGACCCTCATTGTCAATTTCTAGATGTAAGTCAAGATATGAGGCAGACTTAACTGTATCTGTAGTATCCTTTATCTCTAGTTCGATGGGATAGATTCGTTTAACATAGTCACCAAATTTTGTATTATTTAGTGAGAGAACATCATCTATATAGCGGAACGTAGAGTTAAAGGATATTGCTAACTTCTTATCTCTCTTCCTAAGAAGCTCCTGTATGAAGTCAGCCTCATAATAATAAAGAAACAAGTCGGCAAGAAGAGGGGCACAATTGGTTCCCATTGGAATTCCGACAGTCTGTTGAAAAACACGTCCTCCAAACGTAACAAATATGTTGTCAATCAAGAAATCAAGCATCTTGATAATGTCAGTTTCAGAGACTTTTTTGTTTGAATCAGAGTGATTCTTTACAAAGTAGGATTTATCCCTCCCCAAACGAAGGGATGACTTCAATGTTTGTCTTTGGAATATTTTTGAATCCAAATCATATTCATGTCTCTGCTGGTGGACATTTTGTCCCCGAGGACATCATCCGCCCAGTTGAAAAATTGCATGAATTTTGTCAGTTTGTTTTCGATCTATGAGTTTGACTGTCCCTCTGGTATCTTTCGTCCCTCTTTTATAACCACTGGGTCGATTTCTCTGCTGGTGGACATTTTGTCCCCGAGGAAATCATCCGCCCTGTAGCAAAATTGCATGAATTTATCAGTTTGTTTTTGATCTATGAGTTTAACTGTCTCTCTGGTATTTTTTGTACCTCTTTTATAACCACTGGGTCGATTTCTCTGCTGGTGGACATTTTGTCCCCGAGGAAATCATCCGCCCTGTAGCAAAATTGCATGAATTTGTCAGTTTGTTTTTGATCCATGAGTTTAACTGTCTCTCTGGTATTTTTTGTACCTCTTTTATAACCACTGGATCGATGTCTCTGCTGGTGGACATTTTGTCCCCGAGGACATTATCCGCCCAGTAGCAAAATTGCATGAATTTGTCAGTTTGTTTTCGATCTATGAGTTTGACTGTCCCTCTTGTATCTTTCGTCCCTCTTTAATGCCATCAGAGGTTTATTTTCACATTAAACTACCTTAGTCAAGCGTACATTCGAAATGACATAAAACATAAGGATAAACAAAGCTGAATAAGTAAAGTATCATACTGTTTTTTTAGGTTTTATTACAAGACGTAAAACTCGTTCCATATTTTTGTTTGATTGATTTCATATGGAAACACAAAAGCTCGTCTTAAAGTAGGTATTGTCATTTTTTCTTTGATTTATTGCTTTTTATTGTTCTTTGGGTTTCCTCTGCCTCTTTTTTCAAAACAATGCGTAGAATTTAAGATGTATTCAAAATCTTTTTCAAAAATGATTAACAATTCAAACTACTAAGTTCTTTGCTCTCAGACTTTAGTTTTCTGAGTAATTTTTTGTGAATATGTCATTTGTTTGTTTTTTGTCGTGTTTCGTTTTTTTTCCCATTGCGTTGTCAGACTTATGAGCTTTGAAAGCGCCCCCGGTATCTTCTGCTTCTTTATTTTCCACTATAAATACATGTATTGAATTACCAAAATTCTTATGCAACACAACAGACCCCACGAACCAACAACATCCGTTTTCTCCAACAAAAATTCCGACTTACAAAACAAACACACTTCAACGTACAATATATGGTCAAGGTAGCATGACTTGATACAGGCACACAATGTGGTGATGTAAAATGGTATTACATGCGCACAACTCTTCGACTACTTGAACCATCTGTCAAAGAAGAAAATAGACAATAAAGAACCTGCACAATCAATCTACCAAAAGGATTATCATTAACTTGAACAAGGATGTAAAAGACATCTCAAAATGCCGAAAACAGGTGCTCGCTACTACATGAATCTTTTTAAATGTATATTTGGTCTGGAGCTGGCATGTCAGTTACTGCTAGTAGTCCTTTGTTAATTTATGTATTATTGTCATTTTGCTAAGTTTCTTTTTCTTTTGTTACCTATGCTGACATCGGACTCGGACTTCTTCTAAACTGAGTTTTACTGTGCGTATTGCTGTGTATTATTTTTTTCTACATTGGCTAGAGGTATAGTGGGAGGGCTGAGATCTCACAAAAC